TTAAAAAAAACTTTTCAAAGCATTTTTTCTAATGCTTTGAAAAGCCTCTCTGCTGATCAGGAACTCAGCTGGGATCGTCAGAGACTTTTCAAAGCATTTTTTTTTACCACCTCTTCGGCCAAGAGGTTGCAGAAAAAAATGCTTTGAAAAGCATCTGATGATCACAGCTGAGCCACACGATCATTAGAGGCTTTTTTCTTTTACTTTTAAAAGCATTTTTTCATTAGAAGAGGTTGTAGAAAAATTGCTTTTAAAAGTAAAAAAAAAAGCCTCTGATGATTGTGCGGCTCAGCTGGGCATGGGGGGCGCAGGGATTTTTGCTACCGGTTCTCCGAACCACCCACCGCCATCACTACCGGATCGGGCGATCTGGTCCGAACCGGGAGCATTTCACCCCTGATCTAACCTTTCACATAAAAAGTAATTTAGCCAATGCTATATTTCCACATAAAAACATACGTTTGGAGGGAGCTTTCAACTCGATATATGGTAAATGTAGCCCTTCCTCTATAATCCTAAACTTTTATAAGAAGGAGTATAATTACCATATCGATCAGTATATATATAATATATATATATAATATATTCCCTCTTTGTTGGTTGGCAACTTCAAGGTTTGTAATAAAGCAAAGATGTCACATATTTGTGCCAACCAATTAGAAGGCAGCCATCCAGCTTCCAATACTTCAGCAGTGTCTACATTCACTACTGCATATCCATTTATCCTCTTCCCATTCTCCACCCAGGAAGACCCATCAATAAATAACCACACAATTATGTTCCACATTGTCCCATTCCTTTCTCTCTCCCCTGACAGGAATTCAACTGGAGTTGAATTCCTATCGGTCAAGAGAACCAAATTCTCTTGAGACAATAAAATAACCCCATATTTCAAAAGCCTAGCATTGGTGAGCCACCTTTGAGCTTTCTGCATCAGGTTTGTCCATTCCTGTGGACTACTCATCATCAATGCCCCACCAAAAGTTAATTTTCTACTCTCCTCCACCAAAAGTGCAGTGGCAGCCATAGCCTGTATGCACAAGGGGTCAACCTTGCACCACAAAATCCATCAATTTTGACAAAAATATTACAGGTCTCTTCTTCCCAGCCCATATGTGAGCCAACACTCCTTTGACTATGCCATCTTCCACTGCTACAAACAAGTGGAAGAGTTTCCTTAAATCAGGCAAGCTCAACAATGGAGCCTGTATCATTGCTTTCTTCAATTCCTTAAACCTATCTTCATCACCTTCCTTCCAAACAACTTTCAATGGCTTTTCTTCCAGTGATTTCTCATACAGGTATCATCAATAAACACTTAACTCTCCCCACTTGAGGGGAATCACATCTCTATCACAAGTCAGCTAAACTATTGCCACAAGCTTCAGAGAAATGCAAAACTTGATTTAATTCACAAGTTTGTACAGACTAACTTACAGGTAACTTCCTAGCTAGCCAGACCAAATGTTATGTATGTAGATTTTGGGCGGGCAGTTTGAATTAACTGACCGTCAGCTGATTGGCTGACCACCACAGTTGCAAGGTATATAAAGGGAGCTGTTTCCCCTGGTCAATTGCTGGGTTCTCACCCTACAATAAAGAGCTGTTGTCACTCACTGCCTGGCTTGCTGCATCCTCATTCACCCAACCTAACATTGGCGACGAGGATGGGATTTTGAGGCCAGAAGCCAAGGAAAGAGCTGAAGCCATGAGCCGATGAGAGAGCTGCAAACCCGAATCCAGCCAGGCGAGTGAGCGGAGTACTTGGAGAATCTACCGACGATGTCTGCCTACATACCTCCAGCGCCTTTTAACCCAACAGAGGAGAAGTGGGGATCCTACATGTCCTGCTTCGAATGCTTCCTGGTGGCCAGCGACCTACAGGGGCTACCTGACATACGGAAGAAAGCCCTGTTTCTGAGCCATTGTGGACCCAAGGTGTTCGATATGGCCAAATCCCTGTCAGAACCGAACTCAGTCCACACCATCTCGTGGCAAATGCTTCAGACCCTGCTGAAGGACCACTACCCCCCAATGCCATCGAAATACATGCATCAGTTCGAATTCCGGCAATGGCTGCAGCATGAGGGAGAATCGATCAGCGAGTACGTCGCAAACCAGTGCGAATACCGAGACCTCGATGAGATGCTGCTAGAGCAACTAATCTGCGGAGTGAGAGATATTCACTTGCAGAGAAGGTTGCTCGCAAAGACAAATCTCACACTACACATTGCACTGGACGAGGCGAGGGCTTTAACCAGAGACCATGTGATTAGGAAAGTCATTAGTTGGGTCACGAGGGGGTGGCCAGAAAAGACTGAGGGCGGGAAATTCAAACATTTCGCTAACAAAAAGGGCGAACTGACAATGCAAGGGCGTTGTCTATTGTGGGGCGATCGGGTCATTCTGCTCCAGAAGGATGTCTTCAAGTCCCGAACGGATGTCAATTGTGAGATTTAAAAAAACAGCAAACCTCATAAAAAGTGAAACAGAGACCATGAACAAGTAAAAAGCAGATTTATTGTAAGGATATATGCATCCCATAAACTTTTGCAAAAGTTCTTCCCATAAAAGAGAGAGAACATCTTCCCCATAAAAGAGAAAGAACATCTTATTACTCCGGTTACATAGTTTAAATACAATTTCAGACAATCAGCAAAACTAGAGCCTTGGTGGCACAGCAGACTAAAGTGTTGTTAAGTAACACCAGCTGCTTGCAATTACTGCAAGTTTCATTTTCAATTCCCATGTTGCTGATAACATGTCTTTATATCTTATATTTCTTATATTAATAAGATTTGGATGTACAAATGCTTCCATTGTTGAAAGCCATGTTGGTATTTTCAAATAATGTTTCTCTCTAATTCTTTCCCATACTAATAATAATGTATTCCTCATATAGTACCTTTGAAAATAGCTATGCATCTTTTTCCTCCCATACCATAAAAAAGCATGCTAACCCAGTTGTAGATCATGCTCCTCCAAGGTTAATAGTCTTTTGTTTCTCAACAGAATCCATTCTTTATCCAAGATAATGCTGCTGCTTGATAATATAGTTCCCAGTTTGGTAATCCAAATCTTCCTCTTAGTCTTGCATCTTGTAGTATTTTCATATTAATTCTTGCCCAAACTTGATGCTTAATGGACCAATGGATGATAAAGACAGTGCAATTTGCTAGTATCATGGTGACTAAGGGGGGCAGCAAATTTTAAGCAGGTAGAGTTTTCTGTCAGCTCACGAGCTAGTGAAAAATGCTTTAATTTAGTCACGAGGAAGAGCCCTTATTCTGACTTTTACCTGGGCCAAGGTAAATGAAAAAAAAAAAAAAAAAAAGTTTGCAAAACTGGAACTTCTCCAGATGATGTTGGTAATTCATGCAGCAAATAAGTCATACAGCTGTAAGGTTTTTGAAGGCAGCTCAGAATCTGATAAGTCCAATGAAACTCTGAACACGAGGCTACTGATAATCAGTTTTTATTTTCTCAGAAAGCAACAAGACTGGACGGCCTTTTTGTCTCCCACCTTAACAGAGCAGGCAGAGAGAAAAGCATGCGTGCAAAATAAATTTTTTTTCCAAACATCTTATACCTCACACAGCTTGCCCAGAATGTCATTGCTATAGAAACATAATTTCATATCACACAAATTCACCATTTTTCTCAGTGCTCCGAAAACAATACACTTTAGAAGGGGAAAGAAATACATTTTCTGGCATATAAATTCTAGAGTGATTTTACTGTTTTTCTTTTGCCCAGGGCTACCACATATTTTTCAGGGATTTACATGCATTCAATGTCTATAGTCCAGAGCATAAATATGTGTGTGTTTATCAAGTTGCATAAGTCTATTTTAATATGCTATTCCTGGTATGTGATGTTTTGTATACATATAGAGAAAGAAGCACTCTTGTGATCTTTGACTTTTACGCTTGCTGTCAAACATCAGTCATAATACCAGAGGTGAAATCCAGCAGGTTCTGTCAGGTTCTGGAGAATCGGTAGTGGAAATTTTGAGCAGTTTGGAGAACCGGCAAATACCACCTCTGGCTGGCGCCAGAGTGGGGTGAGAATGAAGATTTTGCAATATCATTCCTCCAGGAGTGGGGAGGGAATGGGGATTTTGCAGTATCCTTCTCCTGCCATACCTACAAATCCACGCCCACCGAGCCACACCACACCATGCCTACCAAGCCACGCCCACAGAACTGATAGTAAAAAAAAATTGGATTTCACCACTGCATAATACTAATTACTGTTTTGAACAATATGCATGAATGGCTATTTTATATGTGAAATTATGACTGAAATATTTCTGCACCTATATTGGTTCTCACTATCAGGAAGTTTCTCCTTAGTTTTAGGTTGCTTTTCTCTTTGTTCAGTTTCCATCCATTGCTTCTTGTTTTGCCTTCTGGTGCTTTGGAAAATACATTGCCTATACATTCTTTCTTGCAGCCCCATAAAAGCCTGTTGCCTATCACACTCTTGGGCAAAGCATGTGAGTCATTTCCTCCTTTCAGTGGTCAATGAAAGGACATCTATAGTATGTAGATAATAAAGCTGAAAAAAGGTGAACATTTTTACAGAACTATAGATAGGTTGAGGCTGGGTGTGACAAGGAATGACTGGGAGGGGAGGGGCCAGGCGAGGGATCCCATGACATGAGTGACATTGAGTTGGCCACACCCACCTAGTCACATGACCATGAAGCTACTCCCACCATCACATGACCAAGACACACCCACAAAATAAGCCACACCCACAGAACCGGTAGTAAAAAAATTAGAACCCACCCCTGCTATACCCCCCAGAATATTCAACAAATGCAGATGCATCATCTGTCACTTCAGAAGTCAACAGCCATTTCTCTCGCAGAATAACGAAAACACAGATTGTTCCTCCGCACTCATGTCGGAGCAAACCTTTAACATGAATTTCTTCGTCTCATTCTTCCATTCATGCAGCACTCCCCACCTTCCCGCTAATAAAATTATACTCACCACCACCATCACCAAGTTGATCTTCCCTTTTCCCACCTCCTAAATGCTCAGTGCCTCGATTTAGCTAGGGTGTTCAGGTCCCTTCACAGAGGAGTCCTTCATCCTTGGTGGTCATTAAGTCACCAGGGGCAAGGGCCCTGGGAGTGCTTTTGACATCCAGATCCTCCAGGTCCGGTTTCCTCTGGGAGATAACAAGAAGGCTCTCTGTCTATCAAAAAATGATGATGGCTCGTGGGGCTCAATAGGAGTCGCCCCAAGGGAACGTTGCCCTTGAGATAAGATACCCCACGGCTAGGCAGCAGGAAAATATGTAAGGTTTTTGAAGGCAGCTCAGAATCTGATAAGTCCAATGAAACTCTGAACATGAGGCTACTGATAATCAGTTTTTATTTTATTTTTAACAGAGCAGGCAGAGAGAAAAGCAGGCGTACGCAAGAAAAAACTTTTCCAAACATAGCTCACACAGCTTGCACAGAACGTCACTGCTATAGAAACATAATTTGATATCACACAAATTTCAGCATTTTTCTCAGTGCTCCGAAAACAATACACTTTAGAAGGGAAAAGAAATACATTTCCTGGCATATAAATTAGAGTTTTGCTATTGCTGAGAACACACATTTTATTTATTTATTTATTTATTTATTTATTTATTTATTTATTTGTTTGTTTATTTATTTATTTGTTTGTTTGTTTGTTTGTTTGTTTGTTTGTTTATTTATTTATTTATTTAATTGAATTTATATACTGCCCTTCTCCCCAAAGAGACTTAGGGTGGTGAACAGCCGAAAATTAAAATAACATACAATATAAAAGTTAAGATAACTAAAAATAAATTAAATTAATCGGCCTCCCATTTTAAAACCCCAAGCTATACAATTAAAAACTAACCCATAAAACCTATTCAGGCCAGGCCGGCTTGCTGAAATAAAAACATCTTCAGGGCCTTATGGAAAGTGCGGAGATCCGGGATCAGTCGTATTCCGGGAGGTAGCTCGTTCCAGAGGGCGGGTGCTCCCACAGAGAAGGCTCTTTCCCTGGGGGCCGCCAGCCAACATTGCTTGACCGACAGCACATTTTCAGTTACAAGCAAGGTTACTTGGCAGAATCCACATTTTACTTTTCACAAAAAGCTTCCAAGTCGAAGTCCATACTGTTCATATGAACTGCCAAATTCCAATGGTCGCTTATTTATTATTGAATTTATGCGCCACATTCTTTAGCATCACTTCTGGGAATTGATACTGTCGACCTGACGATGTAACTGAAGGAGTTGGAAGCACGCAAATAAGATGTGGTTCTGGAACCCAACAAACATCTTGTCTTTCAGGCCAATAAAATGAATGAGCAAGGCCTTGTGGATGCATAAATGTTACCAACACATCATTTTGTTCGATCGAAATTTTTCACAACGTTGCCTACCCACCATTTTTTGTCATAAATGCAGGCAACATAACAACCAGGAAATAGGTTGGCCAATTTTAAATTCAGATCAATAGTATTGGACATTTTGGCCACAACGTTAATCGTGTCATTTGAAACTTTGCTGACAGAAATCAAATTTGAATCAACTGGCACAAACTGGTGATGACCTCTTGTGCCAGCTAATGTGCTGCTAACTTTCCATCTTTCTTCTTGCAGCATCCTGCTTTCTTCGATTTATCTCTTTGGAACGTAAGTATATTTAATTTCGTGAATGTTTCTGTCGCAAAAGTTGAACAGATCTGTTGGCATCAGCATTTGGTTGGTTGATGGTTGCTGGAGGCTGGCTTGAGCAGCCAAACATTTAGTCGTGCCGCCAACTCCATCGCAAGGGGATTTGGTGAAATAAAATCACATGGTGAAACATTCATGGACTTAAATGTATATATGTTCCATAAGAAGAAATCGAAGAAATATATACCATGTTTCCCCGAAAATAAGACCCTGTCTTATATTTTTTTTGAACCCTGAAATAAGCACTCAGCCTTATTTTCAAGGAGGTATTATTATTTTGGGCGCGTGGAGCAAGATGGGGCTCCTCTTGCTGTCTTACCTGATTTCCAGCTCTGCATTTAAATATTTTTGGCACCGATTAGTTGTTCTAACTGTCGGGAAATTTCTCCTTAGTTCTAGATTGCTTTTCTTCTTGATTAGTTTCTATTCATTGCTTCTTGTCCTGCCTTCAGGTGCTTTGGAGAATAGCTTGACTCCCTCTTCGTGAGATATTGGAACACTGCTACCATGTCCCCACCCCCAGTACTTCTTTTCATTAAACTAGACATACCTAATTTCAGCAACATATTTTTTTTACATCTTTTACACTTTGGATATCATATCCTAGAATCTGTTGACTAGCACGAATATCCTAATTGTGAAATGCTGAGCTTTAATGCTCTATATCCACTTGCAAATCTACTATCTTGCCTGGTTCACTGATGATGTTATGATTTAATATTTATAAGATATATTTAAATATATTTAGGTTTTGGTTAAATCCTTTAGCTTTGCATATTCCTCCTTTTCTGCCATGGTCTGATAGGAATCCAACCAAAATGTTGTGATTGATGTTTATTTTTTTAACAGATGAGTTATTTTATAGTTTAACTGTCTCTTAAGACCTGATACTGAGCTAATTGCTCTGTGGGATAAGAGTGGGATGTCTCATAAAACAGAAAATCCTGTTCCTATGATCCTGTAATCAAAATCTGAGTTCTTGGCAATTAGAATAGAATAGAATAGAATAGAATAGAATAGAATAGAATAGAATAGAATAGAATAGAATAGAATAGAATAGAATAGAATTCTTTATTGGACACACAAGGAATTTGACTTGGTGCATATGCTCTCAGTGTACATACAAGAAAAGATACGTTCGTCAAGAATCATAAGGTACAACACTTAATGATAGTCATAGAGTACAAATAAGCAATCAGGAAACAAGCAATATAAATCGTAAGGATACGAGCAACAAAGTTACAGTCATAAAGTCATAAGTGGAAGGAGATGGGTGATGGGAATGAAGATTAATAGTAGTGCAGATTTAGCATTTATGGTGGTTGCAGTGCTCTAGAGCCATGCGATTGCCATTTGTGACCTTACCAGAAAGCTTCTGACAAGCAAAGTCAATAGGGGAAGATGAATTCACTTAACATCCACATGATTTACTTAACAACTGCAATGTTTTATTTAATAACTGGGGCACAAAAATATCATAAAATCGGCTGTGCCTCTTTTAACAACCGTCTTGCTTAGCAACAAAAAAATTGGTCCCAATTATGGTCCTGAGTCGAGGACCTATTCCCCAAAGCACCTGAAAGCCGAACAAGAAGCAATTGGTTTAAACTGATCAAGGACAGAAGCAACCTAGAACTAAGGATAAATTTTCTGACAGTGAGAACAATTAATCAGTGGAACAACTTGCCTCCAGAAGTTGTGGGTGCTCCAACACTGGAAGTTTTTAAGAAGAGATTGGACAGTTATTTGTCTGAAATGATATAGAGCTTCCTGCCTGAGCAGAGTGTTGGACTAAAAGACATCCAAGGTCTCTTTCAACTCTGTTATTCTGTTATTATGACTACTTGTACACACTGTCAGCTCCATTTATTCCCATTTTTGTTTGATAGTTATAATAGAAGCTGTTATCCTATGCATTCAGTGGACAAGTATGCATCCACCTCAATGGTGGGTTACCCCCAGTTCGGACCGGTTCTATAGAACCGGTAGTAAAACCGGAGGGAGGCTCCGCCCACTGACCCTGATGTCATCAGAAGCAATCTGCGCATGCGCAATCCCGTTGCGAACCGGTAGTAAAGATAAGTAGAACCCACCCCTGATCTACCTAGAATAATTGATGTTTTTTAGCCCGTTATTTCCCCATGTAGCTTGTGGACTGAACTATTGCCACACTGTACATTTTCTCCCCTCACCTTGGATTGTGTGTCCACCTCTATCATTCTGTAGAAAGTCAGTACCTACCCCCCAGAAGAATGAAATATTTTGGGGAAATATTAAAAAGGCAGAATATTATATTTCCCTAAAGGAGAAATGGAGAAATATGCTCCTAAAGACAGAAATCAGACTCAATCTTTCTTAATAGCCCCCAAGCAGAAACTGAGGTTTTAGAAATCCAGATTTGGTAATCCGTTCAAGACAGGATATTTTGAAACTCCTTGCAACAAAGCTAACAAAGGCAGAGTGATAGTGATAGGATTAGAAACAGCCTCAACCCAAGATCCAATACGTGATGAAAGCCATTAGCCACAATAGGAATTGCCCAACACCCTTTCAAAACCACAAGCTCCTTCATTGCATGACCCCCAGAGCAGTCCAAACTTCTCCTGGGAGCTCAGATAAACAATAAGCCAGAGGTGGATCACATTAGCTCAGACAAGCACCTAGGAGTTGCATTTCCTCTTTTGCTTATAGAGCCAGCTATGACCTTTACATTATTATGGAATTCTAGGAACTGACACGGAATTCCGGGATCAAACAGAAAAGGTTTATTGTGCAAGGTTCAGTGGCAAGAAGCAAAAACTGAACCCCGAAGGGTTCTGATGCAGTTACTCTTATACATACTTTTGACGTCTTATGATTGGTTACAGTTCTGACAGTCCACAGCCCACCGCCCCTTGTTGCTACACCATACTCTTTAGCTAGCCTTCCTTTGTTTCTTAAGCAGGAAACTCCATGTGGGTTAGTTCTGCATTTTGACATAAGTGCCTCTGCAGTTTGAATTCTTGAACTCTCCAACTGTAGAATGGTGAACTAACCTGTGGTTTGAGTAACCTTGTGGTTTAACTTTTTGAACCCAGTATTTGTCTCTTATATTTACTAGTTAAACGGGCCCTTCAGAGATCCTCTAGGCTGACCCCATATTATTTCACTTTTATATCCAATTTCATTATTCTATATTAACATGACCCCATAGGAATCTGACAACAGCCAGTAGAATATTAAAGGAAATGTTATTTCACAGGAACAGAAAGCTCAAATACAAAGCCCAAAGAAGGTGTAAAAACCCACCCGCTTTCAACTCCATTTTGTCAGCTGCCCAGAATCAAATGTGGTTCTGCTTCATCAATAAACCCTTCTTTCCAATCAGACTCCATATTTTCAGTGTCTTTCTCCCAGCTTGGAACTGAACCAGATGGATATTTCTTCCCACAATTGGCTTTCCCAATTAGGGCATACTACAAAGGTTTGGACTTCAGTTCCCAGAATTCTTCAGCCAGTTTGACCGTTCTGAGGATTCTGGGAGTTAATGCTCTTGTAAGTGGGGTACATAGAATGAGGAAAGCTACTTCTCTGTATACTTGAGCCTTGTGTATAAAGGAAAGTTAACC